AATCGGACACTTCTCCCACAGTAGATTTACACCGATGAAAGACTTTCAAAGTTTTCTTTTGGACTTTTCTTGGCTGCTTTATACCTGATCATTTTCACTCAAATAGTGAACTTAGGCTACGTTCACACTGCAGGCGAAAGCGCATCAAATCCGATTTTTTTGACCCTATGCGACCCGTATCCGTTCATGGTCTGACAGTGTGAACGGCACAAATCCAATATTTTCAAATCCGATCTGGGTCACTTTCGTATGTGGTGCTGAATCCGATACATATCTGATGTTTTAGAAGGCGACTGCTGTTTGAATGGTCAAGTCGCATTAAATCTTTTACGTCACTGACACAAGACAGACGCCAATTATCAGCTCCGGAGAAGACATCGCGAACGCTTCCTGGACATCCAGCGTAGATGTCAGTGAAACTGTTGGGAAGACAACGTTGGAGAAACATGAACATTTTATTTGTCTCTGCAGATTCTGACAGAAATCTGCAGCTATCCTTTGAAGCAGCGCTCCTCTAAAACAGCAATAAGGATCATTATTAGATTATCTACATTATTATGTAAATAACAAAATAACTTAAAGCAAAAATTGGGAAACGTAAAGTCCGAAGTCTTTATATTAAGGGCCATCAGTCAAACAATATTATTTGGTCTGGGTCTAAACAGAGCGCGTTGTGTGAAATAGGAAAGATGAAAATGCTTTTTTGCACCAACAAGGTGATTCCCAAAGAAGTATTAGCCAAAAACATATCTCAGCGTGCTGCCAGCAAACTCATATGAATTTTAAAACATTCGAAGGGACATTATCAGCTTTGAACTGGGCTCCCAGGATCCTGGATCTCATTACTGAAGCATTACAGAAAATGCAACAAAAAGCAGTCAAAATCCAAAGAAGAGCTTTGAATGTCCTTCAAGAAGCCTGGAGAACTATTCCTGAAGACTGCTTAAAGAAATGACAAGAAAGCTGCCAAAGAGTTCAGGCTGTGCTGTAACTTCATGCATGTTTTGTTTTACCAATAACTCACTGCACAAATATACCTAATAAAATATAAAGAAATTAGGAGTACCTCAAGACTTTGACACAGTACTGTATGCGAGGATTACTTTTTTTTTTAAAGAACAGTTCTGCACTGATGTGGTAATTAGGTCAGATGAGACAGACAGATACCCATCTATCTGTGGTAAGCTGAAACTGATGTCACTGTGCCTTGAAGTTGAGCCGATAAGTCTCTGAAACTGCTGGAAGTACGGAAGCAAATGGATAGGAAAGGGTACTCCATCATTTGACATGGTGAGGATGGTGTATAGTGCTTCACATTGGTTTAAAATTCATATAGGTGTTCTTTTAGTTTAAGAACATAATTTGCATATGGAAGACCCACTGCAATCAGGAAATGTTTCTGTAGATAAACCCTAATCGCCAAGAACAACTCTGCATTGATTTCAAGTGAACATGTCACCCAAAGGAGACAACCCCAAACAATGCCAGCTAAGTATCTCAGACTTAACAGTCATCAGATCCCCTCATTGCTGGGCCACAGGCTCATATTTCACTTCGTCTATACAGACAACTTTCCGACAACCAAATTACACCATTTATATCATTATATGCACAATACGCTAATTTATCTTACTAATGATATCTGACCTCAGACAATGGTTGATTTCATGCGAATTTGGCAGGTAAAACAGACTGTAGGTGGCAATCGGCACAGATTCTGCAAACTCAAATTAAAATGCCTGCAGCAGTGAGAACTGACAAGAGAACTCCGATACATCCTTCTCAACTTCGGGGTGAGAAGTGAAGAAAAAGAGCAGCAAAGGCCTCCATCATCTCAGCTTGATCTTCTCCCCAGCTGTCACAGGAAGCTGTCAGGACTCATCTCAGCACAACAGAAACCCTTTAGCTCACTCACCCACCTACACACACACACACACACCTTCCCTCAAAGACACATGTGTGCATACACATAGACATGCAGCAATATATTAAGTGCACAATAACATTGAAAGAATGGACCACACACACACACACACACACACACACACACACACACAGCAGTCCATCAGCAGGTGCTGCAGACGGGTGTGGAGCAGAGGGTACAGCATGTATTCTTTATAAGTCCTACTCTTGTGATTAGTGTGTGTGTCCATGTGTGCGGCTGCTCTACCCAAAGCAATTCTGTGTGATCTATGATTTACTACTGTACTGACACGTTTCCGGTTCCATCCATCTTTGTTTTTTTTAAACTGGTTATCCAACTCAGTGTTGCAGAGTGGACGAAGACTATAACAGCTGACACAGGGTGGCTAAAGTACACACTGGACAGGTCATCGCTTCATCACTGGCTTATATAGGGAGACACTCCACCAGTTATCCTAATTTAAAAAACAACAACAACAAAAAAACTAACAGATTCATATTTTCTTCTATGAAAAGACTTCATCTGACTTACTGGTGCAACTGAAAACCTGCTTGTAATAGCAAATAAATTGGAATTGTAAAGTTTTATTTAAAATCCAACCATCTCTATCAGATGACTGAAGTCCCAAATGTCTACTTTGAGCTCAGATTGTTTTACTTCCAAGATTACAGCAGCAGAGTTTTTTTTAATCTATCTGGGTAAGAAAGTTGTGACAGCAGCAGGTACGTTTAGTTCTGTAAACTAAAACTGACAAAATCATTTCTCAGAAGACAGGAGGTGCTCAAACATGGACTAGGAACTTGCACGTCAGTGAAAGTGTACTGCAGTGCTTCACTTACACATTTTAAATTGCTGGAGGCCATCTCAGCTCATAAAGTAACAAGAATATCCTAAAATGACAGCCGCACAGCAAGAATCCACAACAAATTACTGACACTTGGGAAATGTGAAAAGAGAAGTAAAACAAAAAAAAATGCTGTGAACTTCACCTCAGCAACATTTCACCATTTTCAAATATGACCTACAGATTAACCCGGGATGAAAACTGTTAGCTGAAGTCTTGAAATTGTCCCATAATGCCATCTGTATCACGCTACAGCCCTTTTTCCTCCCTCCCAGCAAGGCAAGCAGGTTTCATGATCTGGTTGTTGTACTTGTTAGTGGATCCCGAGGGCCTCTGGTCAAACATTGGTATTCCCTCTGCACTGGCAAAAAAACCCAGAAGGCAGGATTGAGATGCAGTTTTCAGGCAGCCGCTGTCAGTAGCCTTGGAGCAATCACAAGGACTTCGAAAATGAAGCTCATAAATATTTATAGGCTTCTGAAAATATCGTATTCATTCAAACAAACAGGGTGAAAGAAGTGCCTGTCTGTAATGGATGTGTAACAGCAGATAATTGGAGCTTTGAACAACAAAACTTACAGAGAAACTGAAGGCAGGTGGGCAAAGATCACAGGGAAAAACATGGTCCCGTGTACACACCAACACACACATTCACGTGGTTGTAAATGCACGCACCTATGCATGCATGTGCGCACACACACACACACTTTTGGGTTTGTTTTACTTTCACTTCCTCCTGTGAAAACCACAAAGGTTGAAGAGAAGCAGGTTATTATATCAAACTCTGTCACGCTGCAACGAAAAGATGAGGCTCTGGCTAAATTCCAGCAGGAAGTTTCTCTCTTTGTTCTAAACATGTCAATCGCACCACAGAAACCTAATTTTCCTGCTGCCCCCCCTCTTTTATCTGCTGCGTCTATAGGGCTATAATGGATTTTAGTAAAAAATGAAAACTCCAGATTTTGGGAAGTGCGAGAAACCTTTACAGGAACAAAAAACCGTCCTTCGCCCCGCGCTGTCAAAAATGACGCCGTCTCGGGAGCTAATGTTCGGCTACTGTAGAAACTGGGCAAAGCAAGCAAAAACAAAAACAGAAACAGAAAGAAGAACCCAACTTGTCATCTAATTATGAGAAATTACAACTGCTCTTAGTGATGGTACACCAATGCAGTAGTTTTCACACTTTCTGGCGTGCCCCTCTTCAAAAGCTGAAAAGGTTCTCTACAGAGTTTTTCCATCAAATATAAATAATAATAATAATAATAATAATAATAATAATGATTAAAAAAAGGATTCAACTTAATCTTAATTGAATCAAAATAGAATAAAGGTCGGTGCAGCAGCAGCGCTTCTCTGTTTTTATACCCCCCACATATTAAAAATAAAATGCAAACTAATTTCGCTTCACATTTTCTCACCTGGTTGTCTGCACCCCACCTGCAGAGGCTTCATGCCCCACCATTTGAAAGCCACTACACTAATGAAGATATAATTATCAGATTTTCATGCTATTCATGCTGGGCAAGAGCATGTGCATGCACACTGGGGCACACGCACACACACACTTTGTGATTTCCTAATAAGTTTAAGGAGTTCATAAAGTTGTCTCGAGCAAATATCTTAATCATTTTGTAACATATATATATTATAAGCAAATAGGCAATCAGTGTAATCCGATGCCTCTCCAGTGAGCATCCGGGCTGCTGAATGAACTCCAACTCCTCGGCATTGGCCTGCAGCTGATGACAGAAGTACTTGTTCTCCTCAGAAACCAGTGTTTACCACCTCCTAAGGCCGACCCTTGAGATCACAGTGGAGCTCCAGAACAGAACAAAGGCTAGTGTTGCCACATGCAGTCCAAGATGGTGGAGTTGAAGTCATTCTGTCAGAACAACTTACTAAAGAGGCAGCTGATGTCAAGGACTGCCACAACAACAACAACAACATGCTCACCCAGTCAACAAGACGGAGGCAGGGCTAGCTGTGTAGCAACGACTGGACTTTCAAAGTAAGCATAAGGGGATTGTTGAGCAGTAACACAGTATTGTTTTCTCAGAGATGAGAACTGTTTGTTATGACTACTATATTACACTTTTGCTCGTAGAGCCTCGTAAAGTACACGAATTAGTGCTTTAACTGGTGTTGTTCTTACCCCATGACACTAAACGAGGGCAGAATAGGGGTGAAAATGCGCATTAAATGAACGAATGAGCATTTATGTTTTGAGCATACCTTTACAGTAAAAGGTGAGGAAGAAGAGGAGCAGGCCCGTGACGAGGTTACCCAGGAAAGTGACGACTCCACAGGTGATGCCTTCAGGGACCGGGTACACCGTCTCAATGAACAGCTCGAAGAATATCGGAACACTGCTGTTAATAAAAATGCCGACCAGGATGCAGGAAGTGTACAGGATTGCTGTGAAAACAGAGAGTGGGGCAGAATAAGCTACAGTTTAATTGGAAGCTTTGATGAAAGAGGGTTTCAAATCTCAAATGAGCAATTTAAAAAAAAAAAAAAAAAAAAAAAAAGATGCCATACTGGTCAACTTTATGGAACAGCAGTGGTGATTTATTCCACCTTCCACAGCTTCGTACTCTACCATTTGCTTTCAGCAGCACTGAGATTTATGACGAACCCTCATCCTAAAAACAACATTTCATTTGCCAGCCCTTCAGGTGGCAATTTAACACAAACAAAAGCAATATACTGGAGGTGTATTGACAGAAATGGCCAGTTTGTAACCCAAACAACAAGTCACATCTACCCCAAGCCCACCATCACTTATACCTGGTCTGAAGTGTCACACTGATTAGCTGAATGTGGCAGTTTTGCAATTTGAAATGTGTTTTTCTGCCTTACTGTGTTGTTATTCTATTCCCACTTTATGCACTCAGTTTTAGAAAGGACCGCTTTAAAGGTAGCAGGTGCTCAGTGGAGGGTGCAAATATAATAGTACATGTACTTGAAACTAAGGCCTGGGTGGTGTTTTTAATGCACTTTGTTTGCATTTCTATAAATGTATGTAACAAAAAACTTCATTCCCATTCTGAATCAAAATGCAACTCATTTCACAGAATCAACAGTACATTAAAAATAAAATTCCTTTTTCTACTTCCAAAATGCACAGATGTCCATATAATAAACAGCTCGTCTCATTTGCTCTTTGTGCATGATGAGAATCGTGTGCACTGGACACACCTGCTGATTTATGTGCTGAAGTGGGGAAAAAGAAAATATAATTCAGGTTTGTTTTTGTGTGTTCTTCTTTGCAGACCAATCAGAAATGTTTCAGTAAGTTAGGCACTTGCGTACTCTCGTCCCAGCTGCAGACCTCAGCTGGCCCTAAAGTAAAACACGTGTATTAGAGCGGATGTGCGGCGAGATTAAGCAGTCACCTCTGGAGCATCACGGCACCCTCAATCTCCCTTATCACAGCAGACTGGTCCAAACGAGCTCCCCATTAGCCTGCACGTCCCTTTAATCACAGTGCCTCTGAGGGCCCAGCGTACCCACTTGCCTGCCTGTGACTGGGAATCTAACCGCCACGCCGCAGCCATCAAAGGCAGCTGTGCCCCCTGATTCTTTTCCTTCAGTGCTACCAAAGAGCTCAAATCAAATGCTGCAGCCGCTGCACACGCGCCTCGCGTTATAAGATTAGCCTATATGCCACCAGCTCCTAACAGGTTTAAGAAGATCCCTTGAAGAAAAGAGACATGATTGATCACAAATACCCAAGAACACAGAATAAAGACACAGACTATACTAGAATTTGGGGTTTCTGGCCCACAGACTTGTGTTGCATGGGTAATAAATCAGATAGAGGATTTCATTTCCCTCTAAAACTTATTCGCTTGTTCTCCGAAACCAAAGATTACGCTTATGGGTGTTTAAATGCTAGTGACTGTCCCACACTAGGATAATAACTGGTTTTGGCAGATTTTGTTGCAGTGTCATACCACCCTCTTCTATGAGATGCCAGGTGGATGGAGCCTGGCAGCTGCAGACTGCCAGTGTCTGGGCTAAGTGGCAGTCCCAGGGCTTGGAGAATGATGATGGATGATGATGACTAAAATTAGTGGCTTCGGGTGACATGCTGCTCTGCCTTTTGATTTGGCTTTGGAAAAGGCAGCCCAAACACTGATATCAATGAATGAACTGGTTTTGATGAATATGTAGCAGATATACAGTACAGCCTGTGAGACCTGTTATTGTGACCTGCATGTACTGAAGACGTTTCCATCCACACTGGATAAAGATCGAGTGACACAGGTATACATAGATTTTATGCAGCTGTGGACTCACCTGAAGTGGAAGGGAGGTGGGTATAGCTGCTCAGACAGGTGAGTGTGAACCACGTAGAGGCCAGTGAGGCTCCTGCCAGCATCAGCACCAGGATCAGCTTCAGCATCCCGCGGATAGAGTCTGCAAATCTGAGCGCATGCATTGGGAAAAGGAGGGAAAGGCGGACTATAAATACATAAAAGCAGAGTAAAACATGTCAAGGACAAAAAACACTCAAGACTACTGAAGTGAGTACAGACAGCTGCTTGAGAAACAAGAAGCATCCTTCATAAACACAACGAGCATCTATGCAATTTTTCAATGTCTGTTTCTTCGGCGACTTGTGTCATAATCTATTACTGGAGGCATGCATTGTTTCACAGAAGAGCTAGATCATTTCCTTCTCCCACTTGTTTCTGAGTGCATCAGTTGCACTTGTCACTACACAAGGAGACACTACTGCAAGAGTAGATTCAATTTGTCTCACCAGCTAAGCAGGCAGACTTGAGATGCACATTGTATTACATTGTGGAAGACAAGCCATCGGGCCATTCCCAAACTCTCGAGCTCTGCGGTTTCTCTTTGTAGCCCTTTCTAAACCCACATAGTTCATTAGGTTCCTCTCTTCTCCTCTGGGTATGCATATGTATGCATGGGAAAGATTAGATGACGCTACAGAAGCCTTTAGCGATGACAGACACTAATTACTTTTGTTTTGTTGCTCACAGACAAGATGCTGAGAGAGAAGGAGGGTGGAAATTGACAATGAACTTAACGCAAGAATAAAAAACCCATGTTGGAAAATGGTTGATTAGTTCAACTAGGTTTTGAAGTTCTGTCAGTCTGCCGAGGGCCAGGGGACGCGGGAAAACATCCTTTGGAAGGATAATGAGAAGCTCTCTACTCAGAATGTTCCGGGGTGGCATCTTAGATGAAATTATGGTCTCTTTGGATTTTATGAGCTGTCACTCATCGTCTCTACATATCATCTCCATATTCACAGAAAATCAGCTGTACTCTGGATTTTTACCTTTGGTCTTTTAAATCACTGTGTGAGGCTAAGATGCATAACCTGGTTCCTTCTGTTGGCCTTTTCAGAAAAAAAAAAAATCCAACTAAATGGTTCATATTTCTGCTTACAAGAATGAGCTGATAGCAACGGCAGGCTAGACGAGAGGGCCAAGCGCTTGGTGCTACACGGGGATCTCAATTCTCTACCCACAGCTACACCCCTGAAATCTCCATCACCCATCTGCCACTGACTGGCTCACGTCCACAACCCTTCAACCACTCCTGCTACCAGAGAGGGACGAAATCCTTAGTCTGCAACCAGCCAAGAGCTCATCTCTTTGCAGAGGGGATCACAGACTGTTCCCCTGTACTACATCCAATCTGATCCTTCAGACTAAAATGCCATAAGTAGCTTATTTCCTATACTACACCTCTGGATCCCCACTCCACTAGATAAAGAGCTTGGTTACTCATTGGCACAATATGGTGCGTGTGACACGTTTTAAATTTGAACTCATGAATGTCAGTTTAAATGTCGCTAACTGAGGTGCACAGTTAGCCACCAGTAATAAAAAAAAATATCCCATCATAAACCATGTTTTTCTTTTTAAAAGTCGATCAAATTTTCATTTTTTGGACTCCACTAAAGTAGCATTGCATGATTTATTATTTAGAGCAGTCTGACGTTTTAGCACACAGGGATTCATTCATTCATTCAAACTTAGATTTAATACCTTTCAGAGATATATAACGTTAAATTTGATCCTTCTGCTCTAACAGCTATCTTTGGAGAGACACCTCGAAACGTCAATCTCTCAAAAATAAAAAATTCGAATTCAATGTCCTTTGCTTCACTCACTGCAAGGCGCCTTATACTTAAGAAGGAAGCAGGAAGCTCCTCCCACACATGAACAGTGGCTTGATGAAATGATGAAATATATACTATCAGGTTCAACCACCAAATCTCTTAAGGCATGGCAGCCATTTCTAATGTACATGGAAACATTTAAAATGACCAGCTTATCAAGACCTGATACCAGATCTCTATCATAGTTAACTGTACACTGAGTCCCTTATACATTTCATTTTTATATTTGTGGGGTTGTTTTTTTTTGTTGTTGTTTGTTTGCTGCTCTCTTTCTGTTATTTTTTGGGGTATTGACAGATAAGGAGGTACTCCCTTAGATGTAAGACCAGTAACACTGAGCTGTTCCTTCCTTTACTCTTCAAAAATTACAAGCAGATAAAATTGTGTTTAAAACCTATATACAGTAATTTATTCATCTTCGTCACAGAACTCCATTATTATGCAAAAATCAATTATAAATAGTAAACATTACACAGCGTTCTTGAAGTCAAAAGAACTTGAAAGATATTTTGAGTTGAACCCGCACACAAATCTTTTCAAACATTTTGCTAATATTTTAGCGTGCTGTTAAAAACCAAAAATATACAACTGCATTTAAAAAATTTAATTCAATTAAAATTAACAAAAAAAAAAATATATCACTACAACTTCTTGTATAAGTGGAACTATACGTCACATTGATGGGAACGAGGTTGTGACATATGACGCATGAAAGAGCCACTTCCATTGGATTTGTTAAATAAGATTAAGATATAACTGTTGCACTACTCACAGAGTAAAGAGGGTCATGTCATCTCATGAGGTAAAGTCAGAATTAAAAGCCTATCTTTTACACTCCCCGAACAGGATTTATTGGCCATAAAGATAGCATCATTTAAGTCATGTAGAATCAGATTCCATTTTCTGCTCCCCGGTGCCTGCAGGGAATGATGAAATATCATCATTAGTATAATTTAGGCCCGTCTACGTTTTTAGTGAGGAGCAGACATCCTGCAAAAGAAAAAAGAAAAGAACGATATAATATGATGACCAACACGCAATCACAGATTGTTCTCGTTTGAAGGGAAAACAAATTAGGCCGCAGCTGATACTCATTTGCCTTTGCTCTATTGGAGTATTTTCCAGCTCAGACCTCCGTGATGTGAAGGAGAATAACCTGGTTCTGTTTTCTGCCACCTCCTTCGTATTCACCCCTCGCCCCCCCTTTTTCCCCAGAGCTTGTAATGGGGAGATAATGAGTGAAGCTTTTTAGTTATTCTTTCCACTCTCCTCAATCTGGAGGAAAATAAATAAATAAAAATAGTGTGCAGTGTCGTGGCGCTGTCGTCCAATCAGCATCTGTCTGGGCCAGACAATTACACAGATGCCAGATTGTTTGTCAAATGTTTTCATGACGGGGCCACACCTCGGAGCAGCTACCACCGCTAATTGAACCTGCTGGATCGAGGTCCCTGCCATTCAAACATCCACTGAGCCAAGACACAGGGAGCGCAATGTTTGCACGAGCCTGTGTATGATTTTTATTTATTCATTTATTTTTTGGCAAAGGGCTTGTGCTGACACCCAAAGAAATTTAGCTAAGCAGCAGTAGCACTTTAAATGTGAAACTGCAACACCTGCAGCAAAACAGCATTTAAAGAAGAACATTTCCTGCTCCCTGTGGCAAACTGTGCTCGCGACTGGCACGCAGAGTGCTGACTAAAGGGAGAGGGACGGCTGGTGGCGTATAATAAGCTACAACTTGACATTAACAACTTAAGGGCTGCTAGCGGGTGAGACAAGGGACAGAGATTGTTCTGTTCATTAGCACAATCTTTCCTGGGAATTTATCTAATGATGCTGTGATGCAGCAAGTTGATGAAAAAAATAAAAATAAAAAAGTAAAAACAGAAAGGGGAAATAGAGAGTTTTGGGGAAATGGAAAAAGAATTTAATACATTTAAAAGTAATTTCTTCTACTGGAGAAACATTTTTCCAATCAAAGAATGGAGGTTAGCTCCTAGATACCATCTAGGAGCTAAAATCCCAAAGGCCTGTGAGCCTGTTGACTGGAAGTACTGCATGCGAATACCAGCTTCCTGTCATGCAACACCATGGTGCACACTGCAGGGGAGTCTAAAAAGAATACACTTTTCTTCATCATTATGGCGCACATGTAGAATTATGGCTATAATGTATCATTCACGCATGAGGATGATTCATCAATAATTCCTCTTAATAAAACATACCAGCATGCATACCATTCTTGGCATCATCATCAAAGCTTGAAGGTGCAATATCATCCGTCTGACTCACTTTAAGTGAAAAGAATGGGGCATTATTTTACTGGTAACACAGGAAGCCATAACATTTTTAAAAGGACTTGCTTTTCCTTCTCATATCTGGTAAACAAAGCGAGATCTAACATATTTTCTGGGTTTCCGCAGCACTGAAGGGCACTGCTGTGCTGTTTTTTGTTAGATGAAGTTTCTTTGTTTTAGAAATTAAACTTTAGGACACTCAAGTTAAACAATCGTCTCCTGCTTTTACTTCATACTTCAAACAAGGGCAACTGCACATTTGTACAGGTCCTATTATCTTCCCAGTTCTAAAGCTGTCCTCCAACCAGGATCATTTATGTGCTGCAGACAAATATTCATATCATCTTTCCATTCAGATAAAAAGTACAGTAGCTTAACAGTTTTCATTGATATAATATAGACAGGTGCCAGAGAAAGGCCGAGCTCACCAAAAGACTCCACTCATTCTCCAGGCTTGATTGTTTCAGACCTTTCCAATAAAAATTGAGACCTTTTCTAATAATCTGTCAGCGACTACAAAATTATCTCTCCACTTACCTCACTCCAGCACTTGCACAGACAAAACAAAGCTACAAAAGAATTGCTGCGTTTCTTCTGTTTTCAATGTGAATCTTTCTGGATTTACAGCAGCAGTTCAACAGGTAGATTAATCATTACCAACTACAGATGAATAAACTTTGGATGGATGAACGGATATCCAGTGTTCACCACAACCAACCACAAGACCGTCGTTCAGTGGATGAACTTAAGTTATATTCAGTCACTTTCACATGATCAAGCCCCAAGACAACCCAACCCAAATGACACAGGAGCGGTTGGAGGAATTTCATTTACCCACCAACTGTTGCATCAAAGAAAGACTAATTATGCATCCACTGACTCTAAGACTATTGCAATCAACACCAATAACTCAACAGTTCTGTTTACATATACTTTCACCTAATGCAGCAAACAGCTTCATTGATTAACAGCGGGAGTTATAGGCTCATTTCCCTGATTACAACTTAAAGAAAACACTGGATCTGCTTGGTAGTGCTGATTGCACCTCAGCCTACGACAAATATACATCTATCAGACACGAATGAGTCCCTTCCTTTTGCAGAGTCCACACTTTGTCTTCATAGCGTGGCTCCCGATCCATCACTGGAGGTGAAGTGGTAGCTGCATTAGCATCAATTTCCCTCGCTCTATTGCAGCATCGCTGCACTCAGATCATATATTAAAAGGGAGCAGATGAGAGAGGAGCAAGACCGGCTCCTATTTTTTACCTCAAATCAACCTTCACTGTTCTTTATATTTATTAATTATTAACATTGTTAGAAACAATACAGCCTTGCAAGTGGCAGGTGTACACATCAACATATAATATGTACGCAAAGACCAAGTGAACAGAGTGATTAACACAATGAAAAACATTCACAGGCAACACTTTTTAAATATGCCTTTTATATAGAATAGGTGCAACTAAAGTTCTCACGAAGAACACTTGATTATTTCATTGCTTCCTGAATAAAGAAACACTTTGTTCACAAAATCTTTTTGCATTATGTTATTCCATTTGCCAACTCTCCAGCTAGTACTGAACTACATTAAACAAATAAATAAAAATACACGTGCACTTTATCCAGGCGCCATTTTACCATTTCTTTTAAATATGCAAATAATGTTCAAGTGGGGTTCAGTGTATCTGCTTAACCTTCATCACCATATAAATCGTTCCCTACTCTTTGGCTTTTGGCAAACACAGCATTGTCTTTTCTCTTGAGATCAAATCATCATAAACTCCATGAATCTGTGAGGTGTGTATAGCTTTATGTTCAGTTTTATGTTTAAGGAAGGAAATTTGCAAGACAGAAATGTGTGTGGGTTTTTTTTAATTCACTGATCATCTCCTGATGCCACAACTTATTCTGCTTTGGTGGACCTGACGCCCAGATTAGGAATGACTGAGTGTCTCTATCCATCTATCTGCAACTCTGTATTCAGATGTATGAATGTGTCAGATTCAGCTGTGAAGAAGGCGTGCAAATGTAAAATGAGGGGTCACAGTAAATGTTTATTTTCTAATTTGACGCCTCGCTGATTCTATTGAGTTTTAATTTGATAAACAGACTGAATGCCATTTAAAATCAGAAACGCTAAAACTAGTTCAGCTCTGGAATCAGCAGACTCACACTTTAAGTTAATTAAGTTATTACACAATGCAAAAGCGACATAACATGGGTGAGATTGTTGCTTGGTCCATGTAGTTTGGTTATTTGAGAGGTTTATTAGAAGGTGCAGCAGGGACATGTGTTACACATCAGTGGTCAGGATGTCCAAAAAACTCCCTGAAAAGCCTTCAGCTAATCCAAAATGCTGCAGCAAGAGTCCTGACAGGGACTAGAAAGAGAGAGCATATTTCTCCTGTTGGTCCTTATTGGCTTCCTGTTAAATCCAGAATTGAATTCAAAATCCTGCTCCTCACATACAAGGTCTTAAATAATCAGGCCCCATCTTATCTTAATGACCTTGTAGTACCATATCACCCTATTAGAGCACTTCGCTCTCGCTCTGCAGGCCTACTTGTTGTTCCTAGAGTATTTAAAAGTAGAATGGGAGGGAGAGCCTTCAGTTTTCAGGCCCCTCTTCTGTGGAACCAGCTTCCAGTTTGGATTCAGGAGACAGACACTATCTCTACTTTCAAGATTAGGCTTAAAACTTTCCTTTTTGCTAAAGCATATAGTTAGGGCTGGACCAGGTGACCCTGAATCCTCCCTTAGTTATGCTGCAATAGACGTAGGCTGCCGGGGGATTCCCATGATGCATTGAGTTTTTCCTTTCCAGTCACCTTTCTCACTCACTATGTATTAACAGACCTCTCTGCATTGAATCATATCTGTTATTAACCTCTGTCTCTCTTCCACAGCATGTCTTTATCCTGTCTTCCTTCTCTCACCCCAACCGGTCGCAGCAGATGGCCCGCCCCTCCCTGAGCCTGGTTCTGCCGGAGGTTTCTTCCTGTTAAAAGGGAGTTTTTCCTTCCCACTGTCGCCAAAGTGCTTGCTCATAGGGGGTCATATGATTGTTGGGTTTTTCTCTGTATCTATGAAGCGCCTTGAGGCGACTTTTGTTGTGATTTGGCGCTATATAAATAAAATTGAATTGGTCTAAACATGGACAGGTCATTACAGTCTGAACGTGTGAAGTCTTACGCAGTGATCAGTCAATGGTTACGAGTCATTTCCAATGAAAGCCAGTAATATGAAGCTACCAACTGTCGCTCTCATGATGGGCTTGACAATAAAAAAAATAAATAGTCAAAGTTGCACTGCTCTCAACAGTTTTTCAGCACTTAAGTGATGGAGTGAAGCATCCACCATCATTCTTTCATCCTTGCATGCATACACACATGCACAGCACATTTACACCAACACTTCATGGCAGGTCTTTTTGACAGTGTAGCAGACTTGTAATATTTTCACTCATAATGTCAATGCAGTGTTAAAGTACAGCTTCACTTTTAATCCACATTCAGTAGTCAGAGTGGCACAGACACACACAAAAAGGATGGTATAACTCACCGGGCCATTGCCACTCCGAACACACATCCACCAACGGTCGACCAGAAACCAATCCAGCCTGCATCCACCTGTGTTTGAAAAAAAAAAAAAAAAAAAGAGAGAAAGAAAGAAAACAAAGGAAAATGAGGTGGTGGTTTGGGAGAGAAGCCACGAGAAAAGAACAGAAACAGAAAAGCATATACCCTGTTCAACATGCAGTCCATGACTGTGAGGACAGAGCTAGACAGAAAGCAGGCTCTAAGTGCCTGAAGACTGTGAAGGCCTGCCAATCACCGTGTCCGGTAAATTGCCAGGGTTGGCAATGTTGCATGAGTGTGTGTGTGCGCGCAAAGCTTGCTGTCCTTTTTTTATTTTCCAGGATGAAAGTCAAAACACACACACACACACACACACACACACACACACGCAAAGTCAGAAGAAAGGACACTTTGACCAAGGGACTGCCACAGAATCAATAACAGGTAAAATACAGCACGCCTCCCTTTCTCTCTCTCACACACTCACAGGAAAAGTCAAAGTGCCAATAAATGCGTTTGGTTCTCATAAGTCTTCTATTGGCAATAACTTTCATTAAGTCAAATTCAGATGGTAGATCATTCAGCGAGGAAGCTGAATCTAAAGCAGGATCTGATGCTTTCTGCTTAATCACACTCTGCACCAATCTGTCAAGAAAGTTCACGATGAAGAAAAGTGGACTATCAAAGTTATTAAATGTAGACCAATTCTAGCTTACAAGTGATGCATGCCAAAATGCCATTATATTTGATCAGAGTTTTGTGTGGGCCAGCCTTCTGTGAAGCAGTGAAGCTCAGTGGAAAGGCACTCATCTCATGTTTGCATAGCCTGAAGCAGCACAGAGAGGTGAACTGTACTCCCCAAGTAAATAACAAAGATCTAAAAATATATATTATAAATCAAAACACCCACAACCCTGTAGCACCTATAATTGCTGTTTATCTTCCATGTAGGCCGTGCAGCACTGATGCTAGGATTTTCTATGGTGTATGTCACATCAGTTTGTGCGCCAGTTCAGGGAGCTAAACACAAATTGCATGCCAAGCCATTTCAATTCAAAAGATACAAATTACTATGTTTCATGTGTGGGTGGAGAGTTAATTAACTGCAGCATTCTCAGTGCTTGGATCCTTTAAAAGGCCAAGCCTGAAGCTTAATCATGTCTGCTATTTTGTGACTGTGTCAATAAGCTGGCGACGACTGCAGTTAGGATGGAGAAAGCCATATCATGTTAATGTGTTTGTTTCTGTTTTCTCTCTTAATCGCTTGTCATAAACCTGATCCTCTGAGAAGAAGTGGCATGTTGTGCTAATGCTGAATCTCTTCGTATAATCCTAAAAATCCACAAGGCAGTGTTTAATGCTGAGAAGTGTTTTATGTGAAGGCAGAACATGTTAAAAAGTGCTTCAAAACTCCCAGTGGTTGTGTATTGGTATTAAAAAAAAAGAAAAACTAATCTTACTAAAAGAAGCAGGACACAATCTGCATTCAAATTCTATGCATTCTAAATGGGTCTCCATTAAAAACTGATGAGCTGAAGCACTAAAGCACCCATTTCCCGAGACCTACGGATTGTGATGATACTTGTATCGGCAGGTTTAGCACATTTCCCCTCTAGAGCTCAAATGGCATCCTTAGCATCGGACATTTGGCGCTTCCCCTGTGCATGTAGTATCCAAATTCCAGAAATACACACCCTTGTTATAATAGAATAGGTGACCATTTTTACTTTTCTCATCCTTTTGCGTTTCGATGGCTCTTGTCCTAGTATCACCCCAACTCCCATTTCCTACCACAAACAATCACAGTGGAGAGGCACAGAAACTGCGGCGTGATTGCATTTGAAGAGAGCGCCCATTTGCAGGTACAAAATTGAAAAGAATGGCAATTCAACCACTGACATGAGTTTTTTTACAAAAAAAAACAAAAAAAAAAACAACAAATTTTGTTGTCTCAATCTCTTTTCTGGGTGGCCACACAGCACACACCATGTCAGTATGGAAATATATTGAGGCATGACTTGCTGACTTGTATTTGCTCGATGGAAGATACAAGGCCTCGCTGGAGTTTGTCATTTTCTTCCCTCCTGGGGCTTGGGTGATTGTATGTGCACACTATGTTCTAAGAGCTTCACTAATTTCACGCATATTTTTAAGACTCGCATATAAACCAAACAAACATGAAAACGTGAGTTTCCTAGTCGGGCTCCAGTCAAATCACCACATGCTGTGTCATTTCCCTGCCAACAGATCCCCGTGTGCCTCTGCCCCTCTTCCAGTCATTTACTCAATCAATCCTTGTAAGTCGTTAAACATCACTTCTAGGTCGTATTTCATGAAGTCATAAAAAAAAACAGCATGACGACTGAGACCAGAGAGCTGGCTAGGTGCTGTAACAGTCTTTGTCACTTGCAGAGCATGTTTCGTTCGCCTTCATGTTTTATTTCTTTATTAGTTTTTCAGACACTCTGCTGTGGGACAAGAACATGTTTGTATTTCCAATAGACTCTGGGGGAGAGGGGAAAAAAAAGAAAAGGAGACATCAACATTTGTCTAATCCAGTGACAACTGATTGCTCTTACTGCCTCACGGCACTCATGGTCACCTCTCACTCAGGCTGGGTGGCTAGCTGTGGAAACAGATGACAGAAGCATCTTTATTCCAGAAAAGGACCCCGAAGAAGCATGTGTAAGAAAAATGCTGACAGAGAGAGGGAGGAGGAGGAGAGATGAGGTTAGGTCTTGAAACACACCAAGGATAAATGACTGCATGAATCAGCAGCAGAACTGAGTTACCAAATGTGTGCACTAGAAAAGAAAAAGAAGTGAAAATAGAATTTGAAAAACGGTGCAGTGAAAAAAGGATTTGCCCCTTCCTGATTTCATTTACGCACATTTGTCACACATTAAAGATCAAATACACTTTATTTTAGACAAAAATAATTTCTTTAATGTAGTTTTGAACGAGGATTTCATGTATTAATGGGGGGAGCTATCCAAACCTATGATAAATCATCTGACTTAACTGAATAAATTTCACCAGCCACACCCAGGCATGATTAATATCACACCTGCTGAATCAAGACATCCATCAAATAGAATCTGTCAAACTGACAAAGTGAAGTAGGCCAAACGATTAAAAATGTAAAAAGCAACACATCAAGCCATGATCTAGAGAAACCGCTAAAAAAACAAATATTATGCTGGAAACCCCTCCAGCGTGGATGAATAAAAAGAATTCTGCAAAGAAGACTGAGCAAAATTTCCTCCACAGCAATGCAAATGACTGAATGCTGTTCTGCAGCCAAGGCTGGTTTAGGTGGCAATTACTTCCACATCGGTTTGTGATAACCTTTTTTCACTCAAATTAAATCATCAACTGAATGATGCATTTTGCATCTCATCTGGTCATCTTTGTCTAATATTAACATTTGTTTGATGAGCCATTACATCCAATTTCAACCAGACGTGGATTCAGAAAATGATTCCACAGTAAAGCAAAGGTGTAAACATGTGTTCGTGAGTAAACCTGCACCAACATGAGCAAATCATTGCAAAGCAAGAAGAAATTAACAGGAAATTTCTCTTTTGCTATTAATGCTTTGTTCATTTTAAAATGTCAGTAAGAGCTGAAGGCAAATGCAAAGGGAAAAGTTTGCACGGAAACAAAAATTCCAGTGCAAATGCATTGGTGCTTGGGGAAAGAAGAAAAAGATCTAATTAGATGAGAGCTTGCATTTATTTAATGCCTATTTTACTCCCAGCACAGCGTCTGTCTGCACCGTCTCTGGATGTGACAGTCAACAAAGTTTAAAACAGACAGAAAAACAAGATAAGCTAGAGCTGCGATTGGGATCTGTGGGTGCATCTTAAGCTAAAACAAAATAAAATGCAGTATTTGCTTTTCCTTAGTTTAACTTGCCTTCAATGTCTCCACACCCAAAGAACAAAGCTTCAGTTGCATTCGTACTGCACGACGCACATCGTTTCATTTATTTTTAAGCTCAACTTTTATACCCAAGGGATAGCTCATCTCACTGCAACATACTTTTTGTGTTTTCAAATGTCATGGGTAAAAAGAATTTGAGAGGAGAAAAAAAAAATCTTTTTAGAACAAATGAAATCTAAGAACAATTTGGTATGCGCCCTGCTTCCTCTTGACAGAGGTATAATGTAGAGGGTGTGACAAGAAGTGTTTCATCCCCCGCTCTGCTGCGTGTGATCTCCTCTCCAGCAGCACCTGTCTGGCGATAACCTTGAAAAGATGCTTCCTTTGCCTTTTGACATGCTGCTGTGTTGAGACCTGGAAGATGCAAACCATCCAGAGCTTTTTTTTCTTCCTCCAAGCTGCACCACTCAAAATTACTCTGTTTTTCTGTCTCAAATGGAAGATGGCTGGCAGGCATGCGGATAGCGATTTGCAATCGATTGTGCCCTTCACAAAAGACGCAGCTATGTGTAGGCTCAATAAGTGCAAAACAGAAAAAGACCGCACCAAATCAAAATATGTGATCATATTTGGTTATTTTTAGGTTTCACATGGGGAGTGACAGTGTGTATTTATTCCTGCATAAGAGTGGATTAATACACGCTTGCAAACTGGTTCTTTAGAATTCAAACGTCAGAATTCCTTCCACATCAAAATATACTTCTCAGTCTTGAATATCATCATGTGTTCTATGTGTGTAATGTCATTTCAGTGCATCATCTTGATAATAACAGACTTTACAGTTTACTGGCAGGAAGAACTTCTGAGATATATTTCAAGATGCAACAATGAGAACAAGAGAAAGGACCCCAGCTGTTCGCCCCATTGTTCCACTCAGTGGGCCACATGTGTGAAAAGCTTTTCAAATTCTAGACACAGGTGGATGAAAACTGACTACTTACCTAGTCAAATAAGAGAAATCCAAATATTCATACATATTTTTTGCAGTTCACCCACCTAAAGGGTAACCCAGATGAAAACTAGTCTGTTATGCAGGAAAAATGTTGACCTCGTCTCCACACTTTCCTCAAAAGGCAGTCAAAACACCAGTACTGACCTGTTCTTTCAAAAGGGCACTGGAAAAAAAATGAAATCTGAAGAAACAGCCTCTTACTGAATGCTTTGAGGTACTTCACTTTACTGAAGCTGGTGCAAAGGCAGTATGTTATCCTGTGTGTGCATTTGTGCCATACCTGGCTGACTTTGGCTGGTGTAAGAACCATGTCGAGGACGCCCGACCAGCCAGCAATCACTCCTGTGGGGACTGCATAGGCCAGTGCTATCATCAGGAACCGCAGATTGCTAAAAGAGACATTAAACATGTCAATCACAAGAAAAAACAAAACAAAAACTATATTATACTATACATCATCCAGCCTCCAGACAGAAATTTCAGCACATTTGTAGAATCTATCAATGTAATCTTGGGAAAAAGAAAAAGATTTGAGACCAAAAGTGTTTACAGTATGTACTAATTAATGAGAGATACAGTATCTCACTGAATGCTACAATTTAACATGCAGTTATCCAGATCTTTCATATCTTGAAAGCATCTGGGTTTATTTCAGTCCTAAAATAAATAAATAGTATATTAATTGCGTATTGGTGTATTACTCCTACCTCCGCTCTTACTTTAGCAAAAACAGATGATTATCTGATATTTATTCGTGTACCTCTAAAGACTTCTGCATATAAATGTGAGAGCTTGGTCACTTGATTTAATTGAAAGGATATCCTCTGCAGAATCACTGAGGGGTTCATAATTATAATCCAAGCACTAAATGTTACTAATTGCATGAATGCATAATGCCGCCTCCAATTACAGCCTACATCCCAGCAGCAGTGGCCCGAGATGAAACAATGAAAGCAGCATAACGTGGTGTGTCTTTCCTGTCCTGTTCATTGATGTCTGGAGGTCTGCCATCAGCTGTCATCCCACCTGACATGCACTCAAGTGCTTCTATCTTTGTCAGGGTACTCACTGACATTAATGCATTCTGTAAATCCTGTGTCTAACATTATATACTTGCCTCCAACACTTGTCCCAGACTGAACTTAATGCTAGCCCCAACTGTAAACGCCCAGCGGTTCATTGAAATTGTGCCAGACAGTGACAACTCGCACAAACTACTCCAGCTACTTGCCAACCTTACTCAATCTTCACTCACAGATTTACTGACCAACATTACTGCAACTTGCTCCTATTCCACTAAACAGTTGTGAGCGCGCCCCGCACCCCCCACAATGTGATTACACAAACAGATTTCGTCCTCACAACATGGATAATACACAGCACACACAGGCACACCACTTTGGCTCATCTCCCTGTGCCTGTCACAACAGAAAATCCATCCCTGTTCAGAGCACAAAGACAAGAAGCAACATGAACACTGGTGGGAAGCTGCCAACATTAAGCTAAAGGATCTAAAATAAGGACCAAAAACTCAGAATTAGGAATTTGAATGATCACTCAGAATACTCTGAATTCTTGGCACTGCACTGTAAAGCTTAACAGTGTGTGACATGTACTCGTTCAATGACTCAATTATAAATTGTCCATAAGGCAATAAAAATAATGACTGCAACCAGTGACTGCTGTTATAGCTGGAACACTTTCTATCACATGAACCTGTTTCAATAGCAAACCTATAAGAGCCTTCCTGCGTTTGCCATCTTACATTTCAGGTACTCTCATGAGAAAACAGTGTAAACACATTTTTACATAGTTGCTGTTAAACCATCTATTGTTATTACTCCACTCTCTAATGAAAGTCAAATCTTTGATACTGTTATGTCTGTCACTGCATAACAATGTGGTTTAAAAGAAAAAGAAAAATGGATTGCTTTTAATTGTAAACTCCTCAAAGACAGCCACTCGTTTGCAATTAATCACAAATGTGACGGGGTTTGAGGTTATAGTTAAGTGCACGTGAGCCACTAGTGTGTGCATTTATTGTTTCATTAGCTGCAAAACAATGTTTAATTGTTTAAAAAAAACTGTAACAATTGCTCAAAATTAAAAGCTATAAATGCATCTTTGATTTGAGGTAAATCCATTTGTAGATAATAACCGTTCATCAGTTCACTGGAATCAAACTGCAGCAGCAGGAATCTAAATGCTACAGCAGACATGAGGCTGACACAAGCAGTTTAACTCACAGTGAACTGTTTGCAAAAGGGAGAAAATTAATAAAGTCGCATGTATGTGCATTTATGTATGTGTGCCCAATATAGACTCAAAGTTGATCCATTTAGAATATATAACACCTCTCCAATCACATGAAAGTCAAATACAATCACTTGGAGCACAAACACCCACACTAATCACCTTCGCCCAGTGAGGTGACATGGTGATTTAAAAATCAGAGCCACATCCTCAACCCAAACAATGTGATTAGAATCACTCAGTGTCTGACAAATGAGGCAGGGCTGGAAGCAGATTCACAGATTGTTTTCTTCTCCTGCTGTTGGTTTATGGACACCGGTAACTCTTACATTTATTCTGCCCCTGCTTTATTATAATGCAGCCAGCATCCTGAACGGTATCAAGCAGGGACATCTGGATAACACTTTGAGGCCGGCATCGCCCATATGCTTCAAATGCAGACAAAGTTCACGAATACACACAAACTACAGAGAGAGAACTTCCCAGGACAAACTACCTGTACGGCCAAAGTAGTGTTGCTGTAAACAAATCCACAGCCCTTCCCTTTCCTGACACCGGTGAACCTCACACAATGAATCGCTTTATTGGAAGAATGCTTTGATTATACACGAAAAAACAAACGCCACCAGTCTCTCAGCTGCAGACGGCTTGTCTCATCTTAAGCAGTATGAAGCGGTTTGGCCTTGGACAGAGTACGTAGGGACAGTCATAAAAGCCCTGTGACAAAGTACTCCCCCTGCTTTTCCTATTAGCACCCTTTTCATTAACCTTGCCACAACAACAGGAAATCCATATCCATGCATTTTTTTCCCCTCTAAAGATGAGCTTACTTAGACAACCAAATGCAAGCAGGCAGACACCATCTATTGGTAAGTTTTTTCTCCTCTCCACTTCCTGCTGGGGATGAAATATTTCCAAAGAAGTCTCAAAGCTGCCGGTGTCATCAGCTAAGTGTCCTTGGCAGAACCGGCTGGAGCGCAATGCATCAAAATGACAACTTTCAAAGTGAGTATGACTGGGGGTGGGAGGAAGGGGTCATTAATAGTCAAGCTTCGGCCTGTTTAGTATCACCACACCGGGTGAGGAGAATACAATGATAACTTTGCACCATGTGTGGAGAGACATCCAGGTTTCTAATTAGACTGCTGCTGTGGCAGCAGATGTGAACAGCTGGAAGCACTCATCAAGCTGAAGATCGTTAACCAGTGCTCGGACCCTGACAGATAAATGGATGAACAGATACATCAATAGATAAGCATCAAGCTTAATGGCAAGTTAGCGGGTACCTGCCATCACTGTGAAGGCTACAAAATGCTGCGCGAGGTGCACTATTCAAATCTGCCATCTTGGTATCGGGCCCAATACCATACAGGACCAATTTCATGTCTCCATCAGTCTAACTACAAATTATTCCACATGGTGGATTATCAGCTACTCACAGCAAACCCCGGCTTGAAGATACCTAAAAGTGATGCAAAATTATGTTACACAGTGAGGTAAAATAAGTTCAAAGAGCCAAATTCTTTGATCCGCCTGTAATCAGGGTGAGAAACACTACTGAACACAATAGTAAACAGTGAAACCTAAAACATCTGGATATGTTTCATGGAAAGCTGCAGTGTGGTTAATAAATTACAATTAGAGTCATATAAGAAGTTAAAATTTCACTAAGTAAAGCTTTAAAGTTCTCAAACTAAGGCAATCGTTTTGTCTAACTGCTCTATGAGTGCACAAGGCCACAAAGACTCAAGTCACTTTTCCTGCTACATGCCCAGTCCCTGCAGGACAACTGTACGGCTTGATGTTGCTGGACTGAGATGCAACATGTTGCCCAAACAGGTCACTGGAAGCCTGCCTATCACAAGTGGAACAGAAACCCTCACAGCTGGATGGCCTAGTTAAGTTGGCCAGAAACCTCTGCACGGATGAGCATGTGCGCATGAATAAAATGTGTCAAAAAACACGTATTAGATCGATATCAGCCTGATCGCATATGTTTCTGAACTCGTTAATGAGTTAAACCAGTCTGTGCTGGTCAGGGGCCTGTGGAAAGTCTGGCCCTGTAGTGAAGCCATTTCTTACTTCAGGGGACCGAGAGTAGCCAACCAAGCTGGGCCAACTTCCTGGCTGCCATCATCCAGCTTTTTCCCCTTCTCTTCACCCTTCCCCAGCCTTAATCCGAACTATGGCCACTGCCACAGGCCTCATTTCTTTACAAGCCAGGGCACTGATTCTGGGGCAATGCAGTTTCCTCGTTGCCCAGAGGATTACTATCCCCATGGTGGAAAGTTTGGATATGGTGCTGCAAGGTTTATAATAAAGTGTTATTTAATCATCGTTTCTAGATTGCCGTGTAGACCTCGCCTGTACCCTTTCCCAGGGTGGGGGAAGAAAAAGCCCACAGAGAGTCAGATCCTCAACATAACAGAACATCTCTCTTCTTCTCCAGCTACATGCATCAGCTGTGTCTCTTGAGAGTTATTGTAAGTAACTGACCCTCACAGTGTAGATGCAGGGTGGTGTCTTTTTTCAACAGTGGCCAGAGCTTAGTGACAAATATAGAGCGAAGGCTGGAGTTTCTTTGATAACAGGCCAGGCAGATGGTGAGTGCCAACTGTAACATAAGATTCTGTCACTTTCTGAGACAAGAAGCATACTTTGCATCACCAAAATAGACTGAATGTATCCACAGAGCAGAATAAATGCTTCAAACAGGCTAACAACTGCTCTCTTAGAGACCGCTTTCATACAAAATAGCACCGCACGAAGCCAAGTCCAAATACACATCTTTTGTAATCTATTTAAAATCAAGGACATTAAATTAGGCCTCTTGAATAAGGTTTTGAAAGAATGGTCTCAACATCATCTTTCACATGATTTTGGACTACCAGAAGACATCATCTATGTGTGCATTGGATTTTACCTAAGAAGTCTGCAGATGCTGCTCCTGTAACTGAGTCTCTGGCTTGCAGCGGCCACGCTGGGAGGCATTGGTGGGCGTGCAGGGAAATAGAGCAGGACTGCTCCAAAAAGCACAGCAATAGCAGCCAACTCTGCCGGAGCACAGCGACGTAGATGAAAAGAGACATACATGTTATTTTCAAAGATGAGACAGTCAGTCCAGTTTGACATTTTAAAAAAAGGTCACCATGACATCTAGAAGTCCTCTGAAGCCATCCCCGTGATGAACATAACAGCCCACTAGACAAGACTGTAGAATAAATGCATCTAACAAAACGATGCAATCTGACATAGCATCAGCTGATATCACAACTCGTCTCTTAAAAAAAAAGCAATGCATTTACTAAAAAGCTCCATTGTAGCCACATTAGTGGGTCGCTTTCATTCCATCATATGATAAGTGATACAATATCAGCTTACTTATGTGACTCCTTTTTACTTCTGAAAACCTGCAAAACTTTTGATTCACAAAAATGTATCCGCTTTGCCCTTAAGAAATTAATAACAATACTACCTTAGGTTAAACAAAAGCCGCTGCCTCAATCTATTACAGCATGCCTGTTTCTCTTTTCAGCATGCTTTTAATTTTCTGAATCAGTTAAGCATATCAGCCCTAAAAAGTCATTATTCAGAGACGCAGTTATGAAGATTATAATTGGTGTTTTTGGTGTTTGTGCAATATTCTTGGATCCTTTCGCCTGATTGTATTTCTGTCCCTTGACGGGGCTGACATGATGTTGAAATGATGCGATATCGATCCAACTTGCCCTCAGAGGCTCTTGCTTTTTCTTAGTACCTGCATACATTACTAGCTGGATCCTGTCCCGGATGAAGATGTCGGAAACCGCTGCCGAGATCGTGGTTAGTGCCTGAGTGTCATTGGGAGCTGGAACTATCAGAGGTCCCACTATGAATGAAGCGGCGCCTCCAAGGTAGGAGAAGAGTGAGGCCACGGCTGTTGCTGTGGCTCTCTGATCAGGGGCAAACCATGTGGTGGACAGATAGGGGCCGGCGCTCATCATGGTGGGGCCGGCTAAACCATTAAGCAACTGACCTCCATGTATCAACCTGTAAAAGAAAAAAAAAAAAAGTTCCTATTTAGAAGACATACATGCCTCATATCAAGATGTGCCAGGAAAACACTTTTCTGATATCCCATTGAAACAAACACAAAACGGCATCACCCTCAGAAGTTCAAAATAAACTAAATAAGGACATAAAGTAATGAGGCATTTCTTTTGAGCATCTAAAGGAAGAATGACAGGCGAGGGAATAAAAAATAAAGGCATAATTATCCCAGAGGAGTCAAGTAACCACCTGCCCCTGAAGTTTCTTTATAACTTCTGCACCTTCAGACTGAATTGTGTGAGACAGATGTATTCTGAGATGTCCCCGGATTCCACCAGCACCCCCACCACCCCACGGCCCCCTCCAGAACTGTCTGACCGAGACAGCCAGCCGCTGGAGACGGCTCACGGCTGATTGATTGTCTGTACGCTCAGTAAAGACTCCCTGGCTCAGCAGGGAGAGAAGAGAACGAGAGAGGGGGACACGTGAAGATGTTTGGTTTATTCTGAGCTTATGCCATTTAAAAATCTTCTATAATATTGACTGAAAAAATATTATCAGTATCAAAATTATTAGATTTTACACTAATACTTAATATAAAAAAAATCCTTGAATGGCATTTTGTTTGACAAAAGCTTTAATTCTAATACTGAGCCCTGTCTAAACAATATAGTTTATGCCTGCTTTATGTCTAAAGCAGGCATAAACTAGTTTGTTCAGTCTCCAGTGTGCTGACATGTCTCTGCCCTCTAACTCGTTCTAACTTTGGAGTCCACTGCCTCTGGGGTTCACAGATAAATGTGTCACAGCAGAATACAAAGTGCTGTGGTCAGTGACAGGCTGATTGGAGAATAACTTGTTCACCCTCTATCTTCTTCCCACATCTCAGACCTGCTAACATCCCCTCCTACACACCAACACCTCCTAAAATACTCTGTGCCTCATACTTTTTATTCATCCCACCTCTTCTTTCCTTGTTTCTCAGTCTTTATCGCTAACTGGGTATGTTTTCAACACTGACACTGAATAACCTGGTTATCCGAGTCCCCGTTTACACGATTCTGACATCATCGAGCTTCTCTGATCTGGTCATTTGCGTTGGTGCAGACATGTCTTTGACTCCTCCGCATCCAACGTGTGTCATTTCTGTACCGAGTGAGTTAACTCGACAGGATGCAGATGAACCCAGTGTCAGGACACTGCTGTATTTACAGCTGTCATTTTCTTCATCTAATTATGTGAGAGGGGAAGTGTGAGCAACAAGCAGTAAAAATTTATCCTCATTATTGGCGTCACACTGTCATTTTCACTTAAGCATGTAGGTTATCATTACATCACTTGTCATTATGTTTTCATTGACTTAACTACATGATTTCTATCAAAGAGTCTCCCCGTCATTACTTCTTAACTAAACATAAACACCAGATTCAGCAAACGAGGTGTTGACAGAGCAGCCAGAACCAAAAATAAGTGGTCTTCATGCTCTCAAGCACCAAATGTGCTTTTCTATCTACCCTACTGCATACAAACCTCTTGAAACATTCAGAAAATGATTTTCAGCAACAGAGACTACTTTGGTAGCTCTGCATCTTTGATTTGGCAGACTTTTTGATTTTCGATCTCCCCGGGATCTAAGCAGGGATCCTCTGCTTGTGTAAATGTGTAAACCACTACACTATGGACCCACTGGTATAATCTCTGTATGATTAAGACTTGTGTGTACTGGCAAAAACAAAATCTACAGCTGCAATAGTTGGCATCTTATTGTGGCCGTCCTCCATTTGGATGGGTCAGTGTGCAAAGATGGCAATCCAGGTAGCACGAAGCAAGCAGGTCTATGAATTAGGCAGCACGATGTGAGCAAAAGCTAACATTGATTTTGTATTTTATGGTAACAACGACATGATTTATAATATGTTCTTGATACATATGACATTTTTTTTACCTACCACACCGAGCCTTTGAGTCCAGCTGGCTGTCTGTCATTGTGTCTGTTGAATTGAAATCGAGAGCTACCCGGAGCCAACTAGCACAACAGTCCCAGTGCCAATCAGGTTTTTGGGCGCACGTACTGATTACGGTCTTATTCAGGACTCAAAAGGGTGCAGACAGAGTGGTCCTGTCCACCTGCTGTACTAGACATTTTCATTAGATGACGATTATTCCAAACCCGGCACTCTAATCTACTTTCTCCAAAAAAACAAAACAAAAACAAAACCGACATTTAAAGAGACAAAGATACGCAGCATAATTTACAACACTAACTGTGACCTACAGTGATCTCATTTTGAATCTCACCAACAATCGAAGCAGCTCAACTGTTTTGTTTTTAATTGCATTTCATGCACAATACAAACCAAATTAAAACTTATGGAATCAACTAATAACCTGAACAGTCGATGGTGGCTTTTAGCACTTCACACCTTTTAAAAAGTTTGACAAAGTTTGGTCAGTAACCAGCCTCGCTGTATTAGATTAGAGAACAGATGAGACTAAAAAAAAGTGCCTTTAATATGACAGGTGATGAGGACGGATGGTGACTAACACGAGGATGAGCGGTCACATGAGACTGCACTGTGGCTGGCGAAGCAAAGAGAGGGAATAGAGCAGCTTTTTCAAGAAGAGATGATTAATCACTATTTATGAACCCTGTCAGACTGAATCTGATTGAGAATGAGACAAAGAAACCTGCACTACAGCGAAGTCATTTGACTGCTTCTGCTCTGCCTGAGCTGACAGACCAAAATTCAGCCATCACAAAAAGGCCAAACCAATTCCGCCTTGAAAATGGCACCATCGCAATTGTTGGAGTAATACGATGGGATCCACATTTTTTTTTTCTGATGGCCAATCAGACATTGTCGGAGTGAGTCTGAGATCTAACTGATAGACGCTAATCACACAGCTGGTCTGTATTCGAATTCATAACACAGACGGAGATTGAAATAGCAACAGAAACAAGTAGACGCATGAAAAGCCAGGAAAATGAGAAGGGTTTGAAAAAAGAAAAATAACCTTTGATTTGAGAGCAGAACTAATCACAGCAAGGTCTAATCAGTGACTGCCAATTCAACAGCACCTTTTATCTCCTTGACTGAACCTCACAAAACAAACAAAATCAGGTCTTTTTTAAATGTGGCTTCACAGAAGATCTCGTTTAAAAAAAAAAAAAAAAGAAAGGAGAGAAAGTTCCACTTTTCAGTGTTCAAACATTCACAGCTCCCTTTGATTTTCAAAAATGGATCTTAAAACCTCAAAACAAAGAGACGCCTTACTTCCTCAAGAGGTTATCATAAAAACAAAGAGGTAATCGCCTTTTTAAACATGAAAAGGAATCTGGAGCAAACAGATCTGCAGGGGGTTACTGAAGGAATGTCACGGTTTCTAAACCTGGATAGACGTCTCCTCAAACTATTGTTTGATCCCGCCTGCAATGTCCTTGAACACCATATCCAAACTTCAGGAATCTGAAAAACTTAACTGCTCCATTATGTCGCGATTCCCTCTCTAAGGTAATCTACATCATCATCCATCTGATAAGTATCCTCTGCATGACAGGCAGCACATTCATCAGCGACACCCGTCAGTAAACAAAGCCCTTGCATTTTGATCACTACCGCAAAGCAAAGAGTGACCTCTACTGGTGATCCAGCTACATTAAGCTTTGAGTCTCTACAGTTCTATAATAATCCAGTATGCCGTTCATCGCCTTAAGATCTATGACCTATAACATTTAATATGCAAATTAAACTGAACTGTGACACACTAACATTTGCCGTGTGATTCATGTCCTCTTTGCTTTCGCCATCCTATCTTGTTTTCCACTTTGAATGTATCTAAAGAGCTGAAGGTCGCAGCAGAGCAGCATAACTCTCATCGTGGTACGGGTGCACAGCGGGCAGCGTTGACCCTTAAAAACTCTTAGCTCGACCTGAGCGGACATAAAAACTTGATATGTCATGGCTGGATTCAGCAGAGGTGAAATTGAAAGCTTGCTCGTGTGACTGGCTTTTGGACTGAAGTGACACTCGAGCAACAGTGAGAGGCAAGTTGAAAACTTCTAACAATACTGCCCTCGAGCGCGTCCAAAAAGAAGAGGAAGAGCTTGGTATTTTATTCCATTTCCTCTTTACAGTAAAAGCCTTTTGCAACATTAGCGTGGTCGAAATATGTGTGCATGCACGTGCTTTGGGATTTTTTTTTTTAAATAATTTATGTCAAGTCAAAGTCATGCTTTGTGGAGATGATATTTTTACCTTCAGCTTACAAGATGTGATTAGGCTAAAAACCACTTCAGCTTCACAGACCAACACTCAACGATGCGAATGCTGTTGTTAAAGTTTAACGATTGAATTTTACACTTTAAGCTGAGTTTACATGTCACTGCTGGAGGTATATGAATTTGCAAATGCATTTTCAAACTGAAAAAGAGGAGAGACACCAACCATTACCAGGCAGAGACTAATAAAAATGTTAGGAAATATGGAAGTGCAGAATCCAGTATTGCTGCCCTCTAAGAACTGAAAGTCAGGATATAGGATGCAGTCTCTTCTGAATCTGTTTCTAAATAATTTAAATCCACCAACACTTTAGTAGTGTAAAGACACTGGAGTGCTCTTCATTATTCTGAAGTTATGTCTTTAAATTTAGTGCTAAAATAAAAACTTCAGTCTCTCGAACAACAACAACAAGAAAAAAAGATTCCATAGCTCTGTTTGCAGGCCAGATTTAGGTCACTGTCGCTCTTTATTGGAGACTTTTTTTAAGGCCATATGGTAGCTTTGATGAAGCTCAGCTTTTACTGCATGAAGACAGATTTCCTGACAAGAAACTCCTTTGCTTTGGTATTTGTCCCTTTTACATAACAGGTAGTTCCAAATGGGAACATCCCTGTCTCAGCATGAGTAATTTGCCAATGAAAACACATTAATAATATTAAGCTTTTAGGTAACACTGTAATCTATCAAAGGTCAGTTTCCCAGATAGGACATCTGCCCACATCTGCACATGGCCCAAATGTATTGCATCTTTCTTTTAAGAGGACTTAGGCTACTCCTGATTTAAGGCTTTAGGGTTATTACAAACAGGCTGACAAAAATACAAAAACTCAATTTTATAATCATAAATGAAAGTTGCAAAGCTTGATATTTCACTCCAAACTGTAAATACTTTTTTGGGACAGACTATCGCCTGGAGATCGTGATTATATCAGTTATTCTCCTTGTACACTGCCAGGAGCTTTTCCTGCCTTATTTCTTTCTTTAGGCCGTATCACTATATTAGCAGCTAGGTTTTCTTAGTGCAGCCTCACGAGACCGAAAAAGGGAAACAAATTAATTTATCTGCTCTTTGAAAGCCAAAACCTATTTTAAAAAGCTCCAACTGCATAAAGTGAAAGTGATATGTGACTTATTCCATGGAAATATAATTCTCTTTATTCATTATAACATACTGCCTCATTGTGAAGCCCAACAGGAATCATTACACAGATTACCACCAAAAATATTCAAGGAAATTAGATTTTTTTAAGGCACTGTATAATTGAAATGACCTTCTCTGAGCTCTTACCCTTTCTAAAAATGAGAACACTGAACTCAAGTGAAAATGAGAATGAAAGTGGGAAACTGTTTTCCAGCAACAGCCTGTCAAAATGCTGTCTGATTAGTGAGAAAACTGCCAGCAAAGACACCAAAAGAAGCAAAGCGTCCACACAGTGTTGATCTGTCCTTCACAATCACATCCTCTGCCACATAAATAGTCTCATTGTCTCTACGCAGTTACAAATCTGCATATCAAGAATGAAAAAGAAGCACGACCTCAGCTTCAGTACAAATGCATACAGTAAAAGACCCTAAGAGGCCACTTTTGTGCAGACATTCATGATTTATTGACTTTAGTAACTCTCTGATTTTTCCTCTAGTGATATCAAGAGGTTGATAATTATTGTTTGGAGTGTTGCGATATGTGACCTTCCGTCCCTTCAGTGCAATTTGACATGTAATTACTTTATTATTCTGTCCAATACTTTTGCTGGTGACCATCTTGGAACATTTAGCAAGCACAAAATTGACATGACAACAGAAAATTATGGACCTCTGACATCTGTGCATGCCATCTTGATTAACTGTTACTGATTAAATGATTCATATTTCTTCTTTTAAAAAAACTGAATGGAAACAATTATATGAAAAAAAGTTTCGTTTTTCACGTACTGCCAAATCCCAATTTGTGTAATCTTGTCAAACGCATTGCACGCATTGGCAAACATCACACAAGGCTAACTTTTCCATGGTCCTAACTTTGGCCAGTAGCTCATTTCATTTTCAATGAAACGCTGTGCAAAGCTGGTCCTAAAATGATTATGGCACTCACTCAGAAAATTTGCCTAAACTGAGTTATGGAGACTATAGAACCTGTATAACTGCAGTGCAGCTCATGAGTCACTTTGCACCGCCTTTCCAAAATCTTTCAAATGATCATCATCACACTTGCATCGTGCCGCCATCTGCTACCTTAATATTTACACGGGCTTCTTACCATCGTCTCAAAGGCTGGCCTGTCAGTGGGATACTTCTTAGAGCTGCTCCTAGCACCATGAAGAGGGTAGAGAGGAGGAGGGATGCTCGCAAACCTGGAATACACAACACACTGCATCAACATCAACACATGTAAGAAAAAGTAAAGAGACAGCAGTGAACATGGTAGGGATTTCTCAATTTTTGCTACGACAAAGGATTATTTCTGTTCTTATTGAATTAGTTATCTAACAATAAAAAGAAAAAAGTAAAAACAAAATCCAGTTTCCTGGAGCTATAAGAGACTATAAAATAAATAAATAGATAATAAGCAAAGAATGATAACAGAGGAAAGCAGCAAATTAACACATTTTAAAATCTGGAACAAATATTTTACATTATTACCTTGACCAAGGAGATTATGTTTTTGGTAGTGTTGATGTCAGTCTGAGAGCACGAAAAGTTATGAATGAATGCTGATAAAACTCTGAAGGGGTGTAGAGGGGGGTCAGGAAGTACTGCATGAAGATTAAAACATCCTGTCACTGCTGACCTCTGACCTCTCCTTCAAGATCAAAGTGATAATAATGCTACTTAAAACCATGTTTCTTACTGCCTTTGTTTGTATGAGGAGCATTTAAGAATTATGGGGATTAGGGCTGGGTCATATCATACCGTTCACGTTAGTACCGGTATAATGTTAGGCAATGATAAGAAAATGAAATATCGCGATAGAAAATGGGTAAAATGCGCATGCGCAGTGCCTTAGTTTACACATGGCAGAAAAAGCATGGCGGCGATGGAGAAGGGTGAAAACAGATGAACCAGAATTGGTTTGTAAAAATGCTGCAACTTCAGTGGTGTGGAACTGGTTTGACTTTCTTCCCTCAGATACACACCAAAGCACATTTTTTGGTAGAGCATGCAAGCGCATGCACATAAAAACAGCTGCTTGTTTAAATGAAAATACATTGATGGGTTTTTTTGCACTAATAAAGTTGTGGAGTTGTAAAGTATTTTGTCTCGCGCCACTTATATCGTCAGTTATATCCTTATCGCAAATTTTCCAAATATATATCGTGATAAATATTTTTGGCCATATTGCCCTGCCCTAATGGGGATTCTAAAAATACACATTATTATAATTTGCAGCCAACATTACAACGTTACATTTCTCATCTGCCTTTTGAGTTGACAACTTGACCCAAAAATCTGTTACAGCTTTAACGAAAGTATTGCCAAGAGAAAGACTGAGCTGCCTGGTTAGTTAGAAATATACTGTAGTGCAATTATTATACAATAAGCTCTAGTTAAACATGCCCAATTATTTACAAGTGATCTAAATTAATGATTACAGTCTACATAAATACAGTTTTAACAAATAACTGAAAGGGATTGGCCAGCATCACTAACCAAGCAACAACAAAAATCTTAAAACAGAAAATTCCTTCTTAAATATCACTTGTGTAACAGCAATAGTATGAGAACTGTTTCTTTCACCATTAACTCAAGTCTCATTTCTCAGTTTCATCCACATGACAGCCATTTAGAGAATTATGTGCACTTCCCCATTCTTTTCTGCATGTGAACTACCATTTCTGAATGTTTGATTGACAGGTTCAACTAAATGGCCGCTGTGGAAAGAGGATCAACATATTAACAACATCCTGTAGGGCTGGGTTGGTTAGAATACTTAACCAACCCATAATGAAGAAAAAAAAATATATATATATATATATATATGGGTCACAACATACTAATGATGCGTAATGGCGTGTGCAGCATGAGACTTCAATAGCAACAAGCACTTTGATAGATACTGGCTTCTATCACAACCCTCTACTGTATTTTAATATCAATCATGGATGCAGACTTTATTGATACCAGTGCAGTTATGAATTCTGCTCATCAGTTAGATTATTTATCAATTCCGTTATTGACCCTTGATCCACTTTCTTTTTAGAAAAATGAGGACTGTGCAAGTTTTGAGCATGAAAGCGAAATAACAGCAAGACTGTATGCAACTCACGTACAAGAGCTTCACTGCCATGAGTTGGACAAGTTTACAATATACAACCTCATAAAACCATTCTGAGCAGTATCAACGGAAGAAAAAGAGAAGCTTGAACGTATTCCAATAAACTGGAAAGCTTCCCCACTTCATATCATATAAGCTGATGCTATATTGACTTCCTATGTCTATGGCACCTTTATAGACAGAGGCCGAGAAGCAGTTGTAGTTCTGCATTAAGGTTACATAGAAATAGCCACCTTTGCAAGGTTTGCCAACTAGAACTAGTTGCAGCAGGTAATCCAAAAATTATTATCTAAATATTTGCTAAATTGTTTCTACCAAAGCGCAAACAAAAAAGGCAAATTTTTGCCACTTCCAGCTTTACCCAATATGCAATTTTTATGCTTTTGTCATTTATTATTCATGCTCCTCAATTGTTCATCAGTACTTATGAGTGAAAAACAAAACATTCATAATGTTTGTCTTGAGAAGGCTTTAGCTGTACTGAGCAGCTCTCTAAATGAATGCATGGACAACTGTGACCACATTTCCAGTAAATGAAAGAAAAAGCCAGCAACATATTTTAGAGAAATGCTGGAGGCCATCTACCGTAAATGAGACCTGCAAGTTTACAGCTGCATACTTCAATGCACAGTATGCATCTACGTGCTCAAGAGACAGTTTGTTGACATGAAGGGCAAGTTAATGATCACTACAACTGCAGCCGAAAAGCTATAGTTACTTCCATATATTTAGATATTCATTTTATGTCCTTGTCACAACTGGCACCATGAGATGGTATGTGCAGCCCATTCAATTTACACAGGTAGACCAGCTACCTGTCTCTTGGCACTGTCTCATGAGTGAGGAGATACCAGGGGAGGGCTGGTACATAGTGGCAGTTGGACAGGCCCATTTAAGGCTTTGACACAACAGCAATAGTGTATGTGCAAGTTTGTGCAAAAAGGAACTGGAAGAGCATTCCCAGAGCTCTACAACATGACCACCGATGGGATTACTCATGTGTGTGTTTCTAACCAAACCCTCAAAATGAGACTCCATATGAGTATCATGAGGGTCCAGGTTGCTTTAGTGGGACCTGTGCTCACAGAACAAAACCATGCTCACTTTAAATGAGAGGAAAACAGGCAGGTCTGCCACTGGTGCCCAGTTTTCCCAAAGGGAAACCAAGTACTTTCCCCACAGTCAAGCTGGATTAGATCTAAGCATATCACAACCTTTGCAAGTCATATAAGTCTTTTTGCAAGGGCACATCATGGTTGACACTTCTTAACTCAGATGCAGACATGACCACAAGGATTTTTGTAAGGTCTGAGTGGAATCTACACCAGGAAGAATTTACAACAAGTTACTGAAAGAAGCAGATACCATTATCGAGTTGCCTACAATTAAATTAGGCAACAAAAACACCTAATTGTTAATGTGATTGTGATCACAAGGTGAGTTATGCAACTTCTGGGCAAGATTGTGCATGGACCAGCAGTCTGGTCCATGTTGTTAGTGCCTTGTTACTGTTTTTGTCATCTGACAACCAGCGTGGTCATTACAAACTTCTACAGTCAGGTGATGCAGAAGAACTGGTTTGGTAAAGCACACGCAAGAGGGCTACTTTCATTCTTTCCAAGAAATACTGCTTTTGCATTGGCTTTTGAACCTGAAAATAAAGATTTTTTAAAAAAGTAAATTAAGACTTGCTTGTCCCATATAAGCACTTTCCCCCCACCTCCCATGTTTCCAACTCATCTATGTGTCTTACTGGGCACAAACAACCCATTTAAAAACTGAATGAAGACTATAAGGTCTCTTAAATACCGCATTTTATCAGAGTAAATATATTCTGCGATTGCATAAGGTCAAACTAATGATAAGAGAAATTTTCTAAACCTAAAACAAAATACGTCATTAAGTTACATCGCTGTAGATCTCGGTGGGGTGAAAAAAAATCACCAGGTCAGGCACAATCATCGTTGAGGTATGACACAGTGTGCTATATTAAAAGAACTCACCTTTTTTATCCATTAACCACATAAACAGCAACCAAGGGAGGAAGCCAGCCGGGCCCCACAGCACCAAAATCGCGATGTCAGACTTGGTAAAGCCGTAAGCGTGAGCGGCTGAGTTCTGTATGGGACCCCAGAAATTCCACACCATTCCCTGCATCAGTGCCAGCAGGGAAAACAGGGTCAGAACCAGCCATCTTCTCCCATACACTCTGCCGTTTACCGGATTAGTGTTCGTCTCCACATAAGAAGGAACAAGAAGCGGCTCCCTCTCGGCCTCGGTGCTCGAACCGGCACCCATATTAACCTCCCGTTTGTCAGGCCAGTTAAAAATTCCGGTTTTAACGACGGTACAGCAACGACAAACTACCTCGGCCACACAAACAAAAACAGCCGATAGCGTCTAATGTTTGCTTTAACTGCGCATGTCAAACCGGAAATAGTTGCGGGTTTCGGAAACTGTTCCTATGTAGCTGCCATTTCGGCTCGTCTGGTGAATTAGCGTAAGCGGGTGTTTTGTAGTATCACAAGAGCCCAAATGGTGCAGATTCACAGCGATGTGTTATAGACGTAATTGGAACGCGTACGCTGTCATGTGATCTTTGTTTACTTCCGCCCGAACCTCGTCTACACGTGTAGTGAAAGGTGAGTCCTGGTATTTCTTCGAAGCTAGTTTTTTAGCATCTTTCTACAGTGTAAATAGAGAAAATATGTTCACAAAGACGAAACATAGCTAACCTAGCTATCTCATTACTTCACACCAGACGTTTTAAGTTGTCTGGGGAAATCCCAGGTGTTCCTAATAACATTAATAATGGCCTTGGTCTTTTCCAGCTCTCCTGTAATTAATTATACATTTCACACTTGTACTTGTTGAATCAAACGCCACCTGAGCGCTGTCTGTCCCTTTATAAAGCGCCTTTTGAGCCTAGGCGTCATTTCTTTCCTCGGAGTTGTTTGATAGTTCTTCAGGAAGTTGCTCATTTCTGTCGTGTAACGCTAGTTAGCGACATTTAGTCAAGTGGGAAATATCAGTGATACCAAGTCTTATTATAATTATTTGACCAATTATAAGTGGAAGAATATACCTAAGAGTATCCGGAAGTAGAAAACGGTACCTAACCTATCTGGATCCAAGTTGTTTAAGAAGTTGGTTACAAAGAGCGAGAATCAAAGTTTCACTGATATCCGATTACCAGTTAAATTCTAAATAGGAAATCCCCACTGTCCTGTGGTAGATAAATGCCATCTCATCTGATAGGTAATAAAACTTCTTGATTTGCTAACAGATAATATTTTATTGCTGTTTTTCCGCCATAAAATGTACATGCACTCCAAGGTCACGTCATCATTTACACCTTGTCAATACTGGGTTTGACCCCCCTTTCCCCTCAGAATTGCCTTAATTCCTAAAGGTATATATTCAACCATAGCCTGGGAACCTTTCTTGGAGATTTTGGTCCATGTTGACATAAAATCACACATTTGCTGCAGATATACCAGCTGCGCGTCCATTATTTGAATTCCCTGTTCCATCAGATCCCAAAGGTGCTCAGCTGGATTTAAACCTGGTGACTGTGGAAGCTATTTCAAATCACTGCCATGTTAAATAAACCACTTTGAACTTTGTGGTATAGTGTGTTATCCTGGAAACAGCCATCAGAACATTCACACACTGTGATCACAAAGAAATGGACATGATCAGCAACAATAATCGGTTAGGCTGTTGCATTTAAGCAGTTCTCTGCTAGTATTAAGAGGTCCAAAGTGTGCCATAAAAATAGCTCCTACACCTTTATACCACCATCAGTCTGAATGGTTGGTACAAGGCAGAATGGATCCATGCTGTTTATGGCAAATCTTGACCCCACCATCTGAATGTCTCAGCAGAAATCAAAACACATTAGACCAGGCAACATATTTCCAGTGTTTTGTTGTCCAATTTTGGTGAGCCCAAGCACATCATAGCCTCATTATAGTTCTGCTGCTTGGTTTGAACATCAGCAGGTTGTTTTGATTGTCTCTACATACACTGACTTGCTGATATGGTAATGGCTTAGTATTATATTATATTATATTATATTATATTATATTATATTATATTATATTATATTATGTTTTATTCCGGCACAGTTGAAGCATCGACAATTTCGTTGTACGTGTACAATGACAATAAAGGACTATTCTGTTCTATTATTGTTTGAATGCTGTGATGCATTCACACTATTGAGTTTTCTTTCAGCACACATTAAAAGCTTTGTAGTTTTATTCACTAATTTAACATAGAAGATGAGGAACATGGCTTGTAGGCACTGACTAATAATAAAACATCATCGTTTTTAATCAGCTTTATGTTCCTCGTGTGTTTCATCCTACTGTCAGTGTGTACCAAAGACTATGGCTGACACCACCGAGATTAATAAACCCTTCAGCCCAGAGGAGACCCGGAGGATTGTGCATCATTTGCAGCAGCCCGCAGTTTTCCTGAACATGACCTGCGACTGGCCTGTTCTCCACTGGACAGCAGAGCATCTGTCAAGCTGTCTTGGTGACAGACTCATCCGATTCCGACTTGGGAGAAAAGAGAAGACACAAGGTAAGTAATTCAATGTGTTGAATGAATTTATCTGTAATTACTCACCTGGATTAAACATTCACAATGAAATTTATGTGACCAAAAAGATAAATTCAGTTCCCACAAGCACTCCTATCGGGCTTAAGCTGTTTTATTAGATATTGCATATTTATTAAGCTATAATAAAAATATTTTTTAAAGTAATATCTTAAAGGAAAACTCAGCTGTTGCTGCGTCATTTTTTTCCTTTCTAATGATTTCAGATGCTGTAACTAAAATTCGGTTTTTGAACACAAAATGAAAGAAGACAAAATAAAAATACAAGACCTGTTAAAATACAAGATAGTGATGATCTATTTCTATTGAGCAATAACTGATCACAATAAACTGCGGTTTGTTTTAGTTCCTAGTATTGTGTGAGCTTATGGAAACTTGTATAGCATTTCAAACAATTTCCAATGAATGAAAATTTATATATTGACATAATCTAATGAAGGTTAGCCGGCTGTTTAACGATGTGATTTATAATGTCTCACAGATGAAAAACACACTGAGGGTCTTTGTTTTTGAGCATCTGCTGTATTTTGCCCTCAGTGTGGCTCTGAAACGGCTCCCGCAATGATTCTTTCTCTGATAAATGACAGAGAGTATGCCCTCTGATAAAAGCTGGCTAATTAGATTTCTAAATCATCTTTTTTTTAATAGCTGCAACAGCTTACAGGTTGGGCATTTCTCATCATGCATTCTAAATGTCATCACTCAACCACAGACACACCTCGTTTATGGAAAAAAAAAAAAGAAATAATAAATCATTACAACTGATTAATTTTTCCTTTGAGCACCAGCTCAAAGTGGGTTAAAAAAATCATGTCTGAAAAGTGCTGTGGTTCTGGTAAATGAAACAGTTCTCTTAACACACAGTCTTGTGAAAACAAGTTTAATTAAGACTCATGCAGTCCTGTGAAAAACTAAGTCCACTCCAAATTTAGTAGCTTGTATAACCACATTCAGCAGCAACGACCTAAAGTCATTGTTTTCTGTATGATTATTATTGTGGAGCAGTTTTATCCCACTCTTCTTTACATTTGACATTTGTTTATGCACAGCTCTCTTAAGGTCCCACCGCAGCATTTCAGTTGAGTTGAGGTCTGGACTTTGGACTATTACAGTATCTTGTTTTGTTTTTCAGCCTGGGATCATTGTCCTGCTGGATATATCAGCAGAGAAGAGGCTTTCTTCAAGAAAATCTTCCAAACAATCCATATTTGTTCCACGTGTTTCTAATTGTACTGAACTTTAACATTTAGCATGCTGACTGAGGAGTGTCTGAGATGTGACTCTTGTTTGTTTTTTTTTGTTTTTGTTTTTTTACCCATCAGGCGTAAAAGGCTGATTGGGGTGGTGACATGCAACTTTGTAAACACAATAACTCGAGACTGAGGGGACGTAGGATTTTCAAATTGATACCATAAATCCACCCACTAAAAATCTCTGACAACTTTGAATCTTGGTGGTCGAGTTTCTTTTTTTTTTCTGTATTTTTTTTTAATCTTTTGTTTGCGATAACCCGAGGAAACGTCACCTAGGATTTAAAAATTGATACAATAGGTGCAGGAGGATTACCGAGAGCTTGGGGATACCGCTGACAGCTGTCAGTATTTGGGCAGTTTTTGCAGTCTTACCTTGTGGGAAATTTGTCAGGACATTCACTCCTGGGAAGATTGCGGCATTGCGTTAACACACACCTGAATGTTCCAGACCAGCAGCCTGTCAAAAATCCTACTTTATGGAGGTGATTACACTCGATAATCATCAGATAAGCTGCTGTTCTGTGGCTACATATCTACTTAAACCAAAGTTGGTCACTGGTAGTTTAGATCAGCTGAACCGTTTCACTAAAACTGTACAAAACCTTTAACTAAGTATTGTCTTGTCTGTGTTTGTTGTTATTTTCTCAGCTCCGGCTCCTCTTTTTGAGACCCAGTGTTCCTACGTGGAGGCCAGTGTAGCTCAGTTTCTCAGCTGGACTCAGGGTCAGTCTGGAACAGACGTGGGGCCTTTTTCTGAATACTCCTACTCAGAGTATTGGGCTTATGCTGACTACAAATATATTGCCATGATGTTTCAAGATCAGCCTTTCATGTTTGAGGTAACCATCCTGCTGCATGCATGTTGACATGTAACATAAGTTAAACAGTCCAGCTGAAATCTGGTATCAGTGTTTGCACAAGTTTACAAGTTTACTGCTAATCTTAATGATATCTGAGATATTTAATTGCCATTGAAACTAAAGGGCAGTGACAAAGACTTTTGGTCAGGTTATTTTATCAGGTTAAATATCCAAGAAAGCAAGATAAAAGCTAATTAAACTTAACTAAAATTTGAGGATTTAGTGCTTGAACACATATTGCAGGGATCCATTTTTCACTATATTGATTGCACTCCAAAAAATTCCTTATTTTAAGTGTTGGAGTTTTTTAGTTAAATAATTTTTTCTAAGCATGTAGGCTGCTCAAATATTGAAAACACAACATTTGACCCCATGTATCTGGCTACCAGAACATTAAGAGAACCAGGAGTTGCTCCCAGGAAGTCACAGCATAATTTTTTTATTAGTCTGACTCAGAGCTTGCTTTCTAATTTATCCCAATGGTGGTGGATGGGCTGTGTGTTCAGACAAGCCACTTAGTGTGAAGTGGGCATGTAGGGACACACTACACACATTCACAAAAAGTCTTCTTCCTTACCTTCGGTCCATTCCTTCCATTCCTTCTCAAACAGTACAGACACACTGACCAAATGTTATGTGTTGAACAAGAGAAGCACATGTCGAAGATTGC